AAACAGACCCGATTTTATATTGAGGCTGCTCTCCTAACTCACAGCTGTGTTGTGTTCTTCAGATTCAAACATGTTTCAGGGCCGCAAAAGGAAAGCTCAACGAACAGCTGGTTCAGGAGGAAAAAGGCAACGGATGTCAAAACGAGCACCAATGTACAGTCACCATAGAAACATGCGCTCCAAGCACCAAGATGGCAGCCGCAAGCACGAAAAGCCTTGGGCTGCTCTTGGTGCCTGGTTCATGGGGCCCAAGGCAGAGAACGGAAATGTGTTCCACGAACTTGTCACTCAAACTATTGAATCCCAGATAAACTTTCGTCGTCATGTGTAAGTGAGTCATAACTTATTCTTAATTTAAGTAGTGTTTTTGAGGAGGGGGTGCGGAACTCGCAGAAAATCATGAGCTAAATACACGATTTGATGAAGGAAATTACCAATGTATCATACATGAGAAGAAAGAAAGTGAGAAAGCAAAATAAGATTTCAATTCATGTTGCAACAAGGCCCCTTTGGGATCTAAGAAAAATTGAAAGTGACCTTTCTTTGGTATGGCTTCCCCTACCCTCCCCTACCTTATCCTCCCCTCCTCCCTCCTTACCCCTTCTCTCCCCCTTCCCTCTCTTACCCCTTCCCTTCCCTGCCCTACCCTCCCTTTCTCCCCCCTTGCCCCTCCTCTTCCCCACCCCTCTCTTTCCTCTCCTCTCCCCCTCCCCTACCCACTCGGTCCTGTCTGTTGCATGCATGGATAAACAAAAATCATTCTCGGGCACGACATTTTTGTGAGACTGATAGTTGGATTTTGTAAATTTTCAGCAAAAAGTCTGATGTTGAATGGTAACATCGACATCGAGCTGCACTGATGTATATTTCTGTTTAAGATATTTTCCATGTGATCCTCCTTACGTGACCGATGAGCTGCGCGATACACAGGCATTCAAAGCTTCTATGAACAAGTTAAAAACTGAGATGGAAGAACTTCAAAATAAAATGATGAATTCTGTGCCATTCTACAGCTCCAGATACAAGGTGCCATGGTATCATTATCGTTATTATAATCATCAGCAACTGACAGAAGTTTACTACCTTTGTCATTATATTTATATACATGAACGGTTTCCAGACGGTCTTAGCACAAAACTGGACGCATGTCACTTATGAACCTAATAATGACTCAGCTCAAAGGTTTTTGTTTCATCTAGAACGCTTTTTTATTGATTATCGTAAAACTAAAACCAAAGTTATTACAAAGGCCGATCATATGAAAGGAAAATACCTTTAAGAGCCAATAAGAACTTATTTTAAATACAGGTAATCTACCTAAAGGGCGGGAAGACGCGAGCGACCAAGTAGTGATTGATTTTAGTTTTGCATTTGATAGTTTAAGTAAGTAGTGTGTGTTTCCTACACCAATCACAGAGCAAAGTTAAGTAAAACCAAAGCAACCCTAGACTACTTTGACACTCAATTGAAAACTCCCAATTCTTATTTGATGAATAACAGTCACACAGGTTCGTTACATCATCCACAGAGCGGTTAAAAATGATACTTTGATCGTGTAGTCTGACTGTCTGGGTAATAGTAGTAATTGGGAGCTTAGACGGACTGTTGTCGGTGGAGGTTACTGACGTTTCGTCAAGACAGCCTCAGCGGAAGACATCACCAAAGAATGCTAGGTTGCACGTTTGCGTCCAAAGCTTTGGATAAATACAAACGGTCCATAATTTTATTAGAGTCAATTGTCTACACAGGGCCATGTCAACTGGGACGTAGCTATGCCAGCCTATCTTGGTTATATCTGTGCTTTGTTGTATAATCAAAACAACTGTGCAGCCGAAGCATCTACCGTGACAACCTCATTCGAGCTGGAGGTTGGGACTGAATTGTGTGTCATGATGGGATATGATCCAGACAAAAGCATGGGGCATTTGGTGACTGGAGGGACAGTTGCCAACATTGAAGCTCTCTGGGCAGCACGAAATGTCAAGTTCTTTCCATTGGGACTACAGAGGGCTCTGCGCAAAGAGGAAAAACTGGCTGATGCAAAACATTATGAGGTTATATTTCCTAGGAATTGTTTAAATTTTTAGAATCTCATCCTTTCGTTGACCCTTACACTTACTTAAGGATGATGTTATTTCGAGAAACACACGAATATCATAATTATCCAGGACCTCTATATTCCTCAATGGAAGTTTGAATCCTTCAATTTAGATTATTAATTACTTATACCACGCAAGCCAAAGGAAACGTCCTAAACGAAGGTGAATACGTTCTTGCAATCATTTCATTAGCCTGATTATTTACGTCTTTATTAATTGTTCTATGATTACTTTGTTCCGCTAGAGCGCCAGACGCGATGGCTCCTCTCTTAATTAATGGCTCACAGGAAGTCTGGGACGGGTGTGTTTCGTCACGGCTTGTTGAAGGGTTTTAGTTTTGATCGAGCAGAGAACATCAGAACAGTAGGCTGATTGTGCACATGCGCTTTTTACTTTATTTCAGGTCTTCTTTCCTCAAAGAGGAAAGAAAGGTAAACTTACCAGTGGCACTGAATGGGAATTACTCAATCTTGAGACTTCCTCCATCCTCGCCATGCCTGATGAAGTGCAAAAACTGGCGGGGCTGGAAAACCATAGCGACTTCATGGATTTACTGTCAGATTATCTCTACGAGTCTATTGGGGCAGCTGAGTTTGCTCGTCACCATCCCCTGATAGAGAAAACCTGCGTGATAGTACCCAGTACAGCTCATATCTCCTTCACAAAGGCAGTCACCATTTTGGGATTGGGCAAGAATAGCCTCGTTCCAGTGGCAGTTGATGAAAACTCCCGGATAGATTCAGCCGGTAAGGAATTTTACGTTAGAAGTAAAAGGAAGGAAGAGAAAAAGGGAGAAAAATAAGTCAAGTAAAGAGAAACTTTAACAAGAATGCGAAGGTTAACAATGACGTAAAATAGCGAAGATTGAAGTTCACCTACTCGATCCGGAGTGAAGTTCTTTGGATCAGTAAACTATCCCTGATGCATTCGATGAAACAGTTCATTTCCTTTCTAGTCCTTAAAGACATCTTGGAGAAGCACCTAAGCAGGCAGATTCCTGTGTTGGCAGTTGTAGCTGTAATGGGAACCACCGAGGAAAGTTCCATTGATCCTCTTACTGATATCCTCGGGATGCGAAAAGATTTTAGTAAAAAGGTAAAAATAGATGGCCATGGTAAACTTAAAGGTTGTTCAGAAAAGTGTTATGGCTGACTGGGGAAAGATTTAAGTTCGACGCAACCCAACGAGGAAACGAAATAACTTTACTTACAAAGTTTCTAGAATACTCTTCAAAAAATAATTGTCCAAAACACCACCGACACGGAAAGCTAGAAAGACTAACCTAGACACAAAATTCCTTAAAATACCGCTCTCCTTGATAAAAATATTACCACTCACGGAAGGAAGTATCGTGGACGACAGGCCGGCAATTTTATGTCGTGGCCTGCGTAATTAGTTTCCGCGAAATGCGATTTCAGCTAGTAACTACATCTAATTCGAGCTAATGGAGCGCGAAATACAAAACTTTTGAGGTTCCATTCCTCGTGGGGTTTCAGAATTTTTTTTTTTGGTTTGTTTGTTTGTCTCATGCTCGTTACCAAACAAAAAACATCTTTCTTTATCTATCGTTGTAGGGGCTCGACTTTAGCATACATGCTGACGGAGCCTGGGGAGGATATTTCTGCAGCATGCTACGTGATCAACCGAAAGACTTTTACCTTAAAGCACCGGAAGAATCTGGCTTTGTGCCTCAGTTGTATTTGAGTTCCTATGTCCACGATCAGTTGTCAGCTCTGAACCAATGCGACACCATTACCATTGACCCTCACAAATCTGGCTTCTGTCCCTACCCCGCTGGGGCACTGTGTTACAAAGATAAGCGGATGAATACCTTCCTCCAAATCACAACTAGTGTGGTTTATTACCATGGTGATATGACTCTTGGTGATATTGGAATTGAGGGATCTAAACCAGGCGCAGCTGCCGCATCAGTTTTGCTGGCGAACAGGGTAGGAGTTGTTTGATATTACTTTTACATATGTCTTCGTTGTTGTGGTTATCATTATCATCAAATTTAACTGCCATGGACATAATACTTCTTCATCATCTCCTTTCTGACATTATACATTTTCCAATTCTTTCAAGACACAGCCAGGTTGTATTCATGATGAGCTACCTCTTCCCTTGGTACATAAAGAAAGTTGTTGATATTGGGGGTGCCATTCACGTCTTGAAAAAAGTCATCACTGTTATAATAGTAATCTTGACGAACTAGTTACCGCACAGAGCGTATGGCATGAAGACATTGTAGAGCGCTTTATGTATCGGGAGCCAGTATGATTTCAAAGTTCTTGCTTCCGCTTCCAATAACGAATGTAGCCATTAGGTTTTCCAGAGAGAAACGTAATCCTAATGTGACAGCCTGCTGCACTTATGTTATAATATTTTGCGGTGATGGCTTCCGTGCTTATCGCAACTAATATCTTTTGAACAGGTTATTGGTTTGCACAAAAATGGGTATGGTCGGATCCTGTCCGAATGTACGTACACTGCTAAAATTTTGTACTGCTTATGGATAACTCTCCCTGAAGAGGATGATCAATTTATCATTGAAACCACTAAACCGCTGCCATCTGCATGGAAGGGAATGTCGGAGAAGAAGCAGAAGGAGTTTATCAGAGAAAGAATCATTGGTAAAAGTAACGAAGAACTCGCTAAGGTATCTCAAGAACTTTCACAAAAATAAATGACAAATCATAAGTAAAGTCAGTAAATGGCAGATTCGTTTTTTTAATGAACAGGACCATGAAGCCCTGGAGTATTTGAAAGAGATTGGTCCCGACACGCTGGTGCCATGCTTCACCGTCAATCTAAAGGGTAACAAAAGCATTGAAGAGTGTAATTCCCTTAATATGGCGATATTTCAAGACCTCAGCCATTCCACTGGAGAAACGACTGCACATCGAATTCCAATGATTGTGACGTCATCTAGCATGCTCCACCACAAGCACAGCTCTGCTCTGAAGAACTTTAAAAAGAGGCTGGGGGTAAGGGACTAATCAAGTGTTAATCAAGTGACGTTCATGGTAAACAAAGTACATAGATCGCCTTTCGGTTGAGTATTTTAAAACCAAAACCAAAGTATTCACGACAGCCAATCAGAAGAAAGGAAAATACCATTAAAAGCCAATGGGTAAAACCAACCAAGCTGTCTAAAGCGCGGGAAAACGCGGGCGACCAAGTCGTGATTGGTTTTATTTTTTCATCTAATATGTCAAGATGGTTGACGCGACTTTTCTGGACAAATCCCAGAGCAAAGTAAACCAAAAACTCCATGCAATCCTGCATTATTTTCAAAAATGAAGTGAAAATGCTTTAAGATTTTACTCGCAGAGTGAAATAGGCACTTCGCTTTAATTATTCTGAAATACATGTAGTTTTACTTGTGACAAAGGAGAAAGAGCAAGAGAGTGGAGCACCACTTATCATCTCTCCTCAGTTTAATATGACTAGTTCCTTAGCGCACGCCGTTCATTTGCTATAAATTCGTGTGTGCATATCTACATCAGAAACTTACTTCTATTCTAGCTTGATCCAAAGGGTGATTCCTCTGTCAAGTTCCTCATCACCACTTGCATGGATCCGTGGGCGACTTCCGTCGACTTCATGGATGACTTGACTTCCATCATGAGGAACAGTATTCTTTGTGCCATCGGAAGGGTAATGCAGACGCGCTCTAATGAAAAAAATGCATTACAAACCTTTAACCATCAAAGCAAGCGACTACAGGATCATTTTTTACCTAAGAAACCAAGAAAAAATATTTTGTTGGCGCACCAGTTTGCTAAACAGGGTAATCTAGTGTCGAATCCCAAAGGTATCAATGAGCGCTTTTCAGTCAACTAATTTATTCTCGTGATAATACTTTTCATTCAACTCATTTACTCAGTTGATAACACTTAATTACCCTGTTATACTCTCCCACCGACGCAACACCACAATTTCTCTAGAAACTTAGCCCCTTTATAGTTTTTCAAAACTTGATTCCAGGGTGAAAAGTATGAATATTCCCTTGAAGACTCTCTAAACTTGCAACAACGTCGATTTACTAGTTATTTGTTTTTGTGCTGTCAGGTAAAAGATCCCAAGTGCCATCATGACTTTGTCAGTACAGGAGTGGTTAATGATGAAAACCAAGTCATCGTTTATTACGCAGGCAACTTCAACAACATCTCCAAACAGTATGGCACGGTCGCCACTTTGCAGTTTAACTCAGATAGTCAAGCAAAAGCCTACAAATCCAAACAGGATTCTTTGATGACCACCAGCGCCCAACAGGACCCAATTGTCTTCAGAAGCAAAAAAAGCACGCTACATGATGTTTTTTTTGGAGAATCGGAATACGGAGATGAAAAGGAAGTGTTTGATTTATACATCGGACTGCCTTCTCATGGAAGTAAGCCTTTCATGACAGCTAACATGAAGGTGGTGGATGTTCCACAGTACGAACACTTTGACGACGACGAATACCCAGAGTTCCTTTCTTACTTCCTGTACGGTGACAAGAAGGACGCTTTCTTGTTCCACATTCCAACTAAGAATCCTGACTTCCTCCAGGTAACTGTTTTCATGAAGAATAATAAAAAAAGCTTCCAATTCCATTTGTTAAATTCCATTTTAACACAATTTCTAGACGACACTGATGGTAGATATTCGGGTAAAGTCAGAAGGAGAGTGGAGTCTAGACTCCACTTACCATTTGGACCCGTGGGCTTTTTTACCAATCTCCTGAAGACGAAATTCTTCTAGCAAACTGATTGACACAGTATAAAGTATAATATTAACTTGTCTTGCAGAGGAGTGGGTCGTGCTTTACAAAGAGACAAAGCAATCTTAAAGATTTAACAGTAATACTCGTGAGGATCTGAACAGAATTGTACGCAGTAAAAAATTAAAACTGACTTTAATTGAATCGAACCACTTTGCCTGCGGATTACTGGTCGATTAAAAGCTGTCGTGTGCATTTTTTCCAACCGGTTTCCCGTTTTTATAATATACTTTTACTGACCACAGATTGTCAAACTAGACGGCACTCCCAAAGGAGTGGGCACTGAAGGCAATAAAGATCTGCTGTTGAAGAAAGGCATTGAGGTCTACTTGCCTGAGATCAGTGGATCTTGGCCAGAAGATCATAAAGAAGTGAAAGATCCGCTCAAGAATCATAAATACGAGATCACATTTGTTGGAATTGATGGCGAAGAAGTTGCAAGTAAAGTGAAGATTGAAAGGAAGGTGTGGTTTGATGGAGCTAAACTAAACGACTAAAATGCCAAGGTTGCTTTGAGAAGACATAACAACTGTTGTTACTGATAGCTATTTGTCATTACTTGTATCTTTCGACTCCAATAAGCCAGCCAATAGGTTAGTTTTTCCACCAAAGTTTACAAACCTAGTAATGTCTGTCGGGCAACAGAGTTTATAAGATAATTAAAGATTAAGCTTTTCTCAAATATCCGATGGAGTTTAAAACGACTTCTCGTAAACATTTAATTTTGCCGTAAAGAATAATTATTAAGCAAAAGACCCCTTGCTTTGCATGTGGAAGGGACCACGATCGGTGCCAGACTTTTCATCTTCTTTGTTTGTTTTCCTTTTAGCCGGCATCAGGGGGCAGCCTTTCCTCCATGTGTTTAGTGTTTGAAATAAAACAACACAATGAAATCTATTATTTGCCTAGGGAAACGCTAATTCTTTCTTTCTTGGCTCGAACTCAATTCATTTCTAACTTCTGAGGATAAGTTTGTGAAAAAAAAAAAACTTCTCTGTTGATTAAATAACTGGAGGAGAGGAAGACTTACAGTAAACAAGAGCTATAAACGAGATTAGCGTTAGGTGACAAGCTGAATTTGATTGCGTGACACACAGACTCTTTAGGTATGCGCAACGAGTTATTATGCTCGGATGTAAAGTAACTGCTCACTCTTCCCGCCATCGATGTCACGGATGTAATAAGGGAACCAACCATACACGGAAATACAGAATTTTCAATAATAGAACCCATTTCAACCAGCATTAAAAGCATGTTTAATATTACATTTGATTTACTACCAAATCACATACGTTAAGATCACGTTGAAGTTTGCTTTCACTTTTATATGTACAATGCTTCTATAAAAGCCAAAGCTAGAGCATAAATATCGCTCACACTAATTTCAAACCACATGACAATGTTTGTTCGTATCTTCCCCATAATATATTTCTGTGTTGGCTAATGGTACTGTGACATTTCCAGAAAAATCGAGGGAATTAGTAAAAATGGGTCAATCGAGATGCTCCACATGAAGCAATTATGTCTAATTTTTAATAATCAATTGACTGTAAATGAAACCCCTACAAAAGTAGCCTGACATCTTAACTTCCCTGTCTCTGACTAATCCACAGAAAAAAAGCCATTTAGAAAGAAGGTAATTCCTCACCACTTCATCTGCACAGTTACCCTCCAGTTTATTACTTGTTAGACTTGTTCATTAAAGGGTACTTGAATATTAAAAAAATCATATAAAATAAATACTGCTACTATAAAATGCACATGCACATAAAAAACACCTCATCTAGTCATTGCATAGTTTTAAATCATTATTATTGTTGTATATATATGTTTATCCTAATCAGCATCATTTACAACAATATCATCATTACACTCCCTCCTCCTCTCCCCCTCCCCCACCTCCATGGGATGGACATCAAATGAGGATATTGAAGTACAATTAAGAGATATAAATCAGGTAGTGACAAAAGCTTTCTTTGATGACTGAAAGAAACATTAAGGTGAACATTAAATTCCTGCATGACAGGAATTAAACATTTTCTAATCTATAAAAATCGATTCACAGTTTTTATCTTCCACACTAACCCATTAAATGTTAAAACATACTTAAATGTTAAAGCACCACACAAGGAAATAAGAGGTAAATTCTGCTGCATAGTATTACTGCATTATCAAGCAGACAGAGGATGAGGAGAAAGTGCAAACCAAGGGAGGGCAGGGAGATTGTTTAACACACTTTCTTGGAACAAACATTCTTTAGAAAGTATAGAGCAGGGTAGGAAAATTGATGTGAAGACCTGGAGCTAGGCAAATTGAAAAAAAAAAAACTCTATCAGTTTGATAGGCTTCCCTATTAAGTACCATTCACATCCCATTTAATTTCATAAGGGTCTTGCCCAGGGATCCACTCTTAACTAATTATATTTACAAGGGTTGTAGGGAACTCTGAAGATTACATAAGCAGGATTGACATTAGAATCCAGTAGGTGGCAGAAAACCACTGGCTGCCACACCACTTTGTGCCAGCTACTTTGTAAATTGTGATCAAAGACAATTCAATAAGTATTCTTCAAACTGATTCCAACATCAAGTTCTTTGTGAATTGTGATCAAAGAAGACAATCCAATAAGTATTCTTTAAACTAATTCCAACATCAATTTCTGGCAAAAAAATTACCTCAATAAAATTATGTTGTAGACTGCTAGAAGTCACCTCCCTGAGAGCTTCAAATCTCGATTTTTTTCCAGGTTAACACATAAATTTTGCTTTCTAACATGCCATGCTTCCTTTGCAGGCATGTTGTACTTCAATTCAGCCACCTTCTCAGTACAGATCATGCATCTCTTAAATTTTCTAATGATAACCCTACATGAGGCAAAGAGCTTCCATTGAACCAGAACACATAATGGTCTGAAAGTGACAATGTCCATTAAAGGCTAATAAAGGGATGCAGCTAGGGCAAGCATGGTGGGAATCAACAGGCCACCAGTCTTTATGGCTCCAGCCCCTGCAAAAGGAAACACAAAAAGAAATAACTCTCTTGATCAAATAATGAATAAAGTCGTGCAATGTAGGTTTCTAAAGAAAATGAGGTGCTACATTGGTGAGGGGTGTTACATGATAAGGTAGTTTTACCAATTGAGTTGTGAATGTAAATTGATCACTCTAAAGAGTTTCTAAAGCAGAAGTTTTGAGCACTGCTTCATTGCTTAGCTTTGTTCTTGCTCTTTGACCTCACCGGCATGGACACTGTATATTGTTCAACAGTTAAAATGCTAAATTGAATTGGCCATGAGGTTGCAGCTTTGAGTTAACATACTATGTACAGCTTTTCTTTTGACATGGCTGAACAGACTTGGAAATTAGTTCTGGTGATGGATGACCTTAGAAATATTGAATTCAATATTGAAGAATTTCCAGTCATGGATGTCGAAAACACCATGCAAAGGTTGGTGTAAGACAATATTTATATGCACGGTGACTCTCAAATAAGAAACAAAAGGTATTGTTCCTCTGATGTGAAATAAACATGC